GCAAGTCAGCGCTCTTTCTGTCTACTCTGTCCTTTTTTCCTATGTTCACGTGCTGTTTTGAAAGAACTTGTAAATATGACTATACATACCAACTGTGTGAAGCTTGCACTCTCGTGTATAATTGTGGACAACATGAAAACGAAAACAAGTGTCCCTTTTAGGGTGCCTCAATATACTCCTTTAAGCAGATTCCAGTTACAAGTTACGGATGTCCTTTTCCTTTTGATTGATTTGTGGTGTTTAACGTCCCAAAACCACCATATGATTATGAGAGACGCCGTAGTGGAGGGCACCGGAAATTTCGACCACCTGGGGTTCTTTAACGTGCACCTAAATCTGAGCACACGGGCCTACTACATTTCCGCCTCCATTTGAAGTGCAGCCGCCGCAGCCGGGATTCGATCCCGCGACCTGCGGGTCAGCAGTCTAGTACCTTAGCCACTAGACCACTGCGACGGGGCGTCCTTTTCCTTTTGCATTTTGTTCCAACTGAAATGCGTCCGACAGTGCCTGAAGTCGAATTCCAGTCCTCGAGTTTACCAATCGGACAACATATCCGGTAATTTGCCATGGCTGATTGCGTGCCTTGTGTAACTGCGTACCCACATGGTCTAGTTGATAATTTTTGTTCTCCTGGCTCTGCCGCAAAGCAAAGTAGGGCGACGCTGACTCTTGAAGAAGTAGAATGACTTGTGAAAGCTCGTTTTTTCTCATCATAAGGAACGCTTTACAACCTCATTAGCATTTATTTGTTGTTGGACAAGATTCGCCAACAGCGCACCGTATGCAACACAGCATACACTTAAGGATGTTGTTTGATAACATGTCCATCGTACAATCCAAAGAAACGCGCTGTTGAAGGCTTTATGGTTTTTCCGTCGAATACTTATCCCTGTTGATAGACTTTCCGCCGGTCTACTGGTGAATGCCACGCGCAAATATTTTTGATAAATGTTCATTAAACTAAATCATATTGTGTTTCTCTCGCCTTTTGTGACGTAGAGCGTGGTATTTGCAGCAGCTGCGGGTCTTATTGCTTTGTTTCTCTCTTTGAAAATTTGAATAATATAAAAACAAGAAAATGTCAACGCAGTAGGACGATCTATACCTTTATTAAATGAAAAATAAAGAAATAACTTGTAAAAATAAAGTTTAAACTGTTCATGGAAAGCTTAACAGTCCATGGTCTATTTTAGGGGCCTAACGTGGCTTTTGCTCGTTTTGAGTAGCCATATTCCTTCTATCTTTTTAAAGATGATTGTTTTTTGGAGAAATACTAGAACACAGAAATTTTCGTCTCTGTGTTCTTTTGTATTTTTTGTGTGGTGGCTGTGCTCATACTTGTGAAATTATTGATCAAAAAGCAAATATTATGCAGATCTGAGGTGCAACATGAATACGTATGCCTCAGAGGGGGTGTTCCTTTACTAAAAAAATACATATATTTGGAATTCTTCAGACCCTTAGGCGTTTCTTAGGCTGCGCTGAAGATGCGAATCGATACTCGAAAAAGCCCTCTGCCGACGACGCAGAGCTGCCACTTGGCAGGATGAAAATGGTGCGAAAACAGCGTGCCGAGTTGACGAGGATGAGACCAGGACTCATGTAGTATAACTGGCAGACGACTATCATCTTTCGACGACATTTGCAGTGAAGCGCGCTAATACGTGGCCATTTTTTTTTCTTCCAGCGCCTGATAAATTACACGGGGACGCGTCCCCCGCACTAATGGCGAGGGATTCGCGGGATGATAAAGGCATGGCATGTTTGCGTGAAGTTTTAGTTCAGCATCCGCAACAACACCGCGGACGTATTCTGCCATTGGGAATGGATGGTAGCCTGGGTGCGCAGAGCTGCGCCCCGCGCTCAGCTGAAACTGTCTACTGTCCACTCAACGCTGCGTGGCTAATGATGTACTAAAACGTACAGTGGCGCTCAATAGAACTTGCAACGCGGGAGTGCAACTCCCTTCAACTAGTCTTTTTTTTTTTTTCGACAACTAAATATTGTCTTGTTTAGGATCAGAACCAATTGAGAGAACCACGTTTAGTAATGGAAAAAAATGGCTAGTGGAAGCCACGCGCAGTCTTTGAACTCGTGAGGCCACGCACTGCCGTGTTGCAAGTTATATTGAGCGCAACTGTACGTGGCATTTTATCTCTTGTAAGTCAGGGAGAACAGAGTGGCAAACGCCAGCTGCGGGTGAGACAAGATCGGGAAAGAAATCACTTGTTCCTTACGCAGGTGAAATGGGAAAAATCTAGGGATATTTTAGGCGGGAAGTGCCATTGCCGATGTATGGCGGCACTTTTGAAAGACTCATTGATGGTGGCGAGGGGGTGATGAGTGCCAGAAGGCGTCGTTCTGCGCTTCTTTTGTACGAGCAAGCGATCCGCCGATACCTGCCAGTAAGGATCTTTGCTGTAAAAAGAAAAGGTGAATAAAAATCCAGGGGACAACAAATACTTCTGACGGTGGAGATGAACTTTTCTAGTTTGTTTGTTAACCGTTCTGCGGGAGAGCAGATGGCATTTACTCGTTACCAGTCGCGGATGATACGCGACGTTCTCGACCCTGTCGTGGTTCATAGCTTTGACGTCAAATGTACCGAATAGGTGAAATGATCGTGGCGAAAATGTGGAGAAAAGCCGTTATGATATGGGTAAAACTAAAAAAGAAAATGCTTTAGGTTGAGACCAACGTGTTTGCTTCGAGAGGCCGAGCGTGTTATTAAGGAAGGTGTTAGGAAGGTGTTATTAAGGAAGGTGTTATTAAGGAAAAGCGTGTTATTAAGGAAAACATCTGTACGAGAATATTATTAGTCACAAATAGAGAGAAAAAAAAGGAAAGAGAAAGAGAGAGTGACCTATCTTCAAGTTTACTGAAGGGGGATTGGTCATAATTAGTAGAGCATTTGACAGAGTCACAGTACTCATGCAATCGCAACAATTTTCAGATCGCTTTCACGGACATACTGATACACTCATAGGTACATTTTTGTTATGATTTGTTTTTGTGTTCACCTTGTTTGTGTATAGTTCTTTTTGTGTAAGCGTATGCTACGCTGTATATTTCCCCCCTTCAATAATGCCCTCGGGCGCAGCAGGTATTTTTAAACAAATAAATAAATAAAATCAGCCAACAAAGCCATGCAGTGGTCATCGTTTAGTGAATACCGGCGACAGATGGGACTGATATCATTAATATTAATACGGCAAGCCTCAGACAAATTATACTCTTTGTTACACAAATAATAATTTGCTTCGTACTCATTCTCACGGGAAATGACAGCTTGTGCGTTTTTCTTAGCACAGCTTCAGGCCTCCCATGTTTTAGCTCGGAAAATGGTGGTAGAGTTAGCGCGAACGTAAAACTGAACGAAGAAGGAACAGATACAACACGAGCACCATGTTCAATCTTCGTCCCGCACTTCGCGTTCGCGCTGTTCTTACCATCATCATTCACCAGCTTGGCTAGCGAGCTTCACTACTCGGAAAACGTTTTTTTTTTATGCTTGCCCGAAAGAAGGCGCTGAAAAGCCACTTTAGTTCATATACAAAATGCTTCGCGTAAAAGAGTACTACAGCTTTGAAGATTGCTCTTTTACTAGAGCTTCTTCTGTCAAAAGGGAAACTTCGGGACGGTTTTGTTAAAAGAACCCCAGGTGGTCGAAATTTCCGGAGCCCTCCACTACGGCGTCTCTCATAATCATATGGTGGTTTTGGGATGTTAAACCCCACATATCAATCAATCAATTGGGACGGTTTTGTTGGCATGCAAGTCCTCGCTAGCGTGTGCGCCGTCGCCTCCGTGCCAGCGACACGACAGGCGAAATGTGCGATAACGTGAAGTGGTTTAGAGCAACCTGTTTCACATACGGAGTCCACGTGCGTGACACGAATGTATAAGGTCTTCTTCGCCAGCGCTGTCGCGTGGTACGGTGACATTTACGAGCCCGCATTCTTGCGACAAAAAAGTTTTTCAACCTCCCCCGTCCTTCCTCTTTCAATCCTCCTCCTCGTCCTCCTCCTTTCGAGCTCTGCGGCGAGCTCTGTCAAATGGAGCCGCTGAATTTACATCGCATCTATCACACACACACACACAAAAGAAATACGAAGAGAAGGCGGCGGGGGAAATAAGGCCTATTCTTCAAAGCACGAGGAGCGCCTCGCTCCGTCTTCTCTCGTCCTCGTTTCAATCTTACTTCTTTCCTTTCCAATGGGCTGGCGCGTATTGTGCTCGACTGCTCATCCGAAGGTCGTGGAATCGAATCCCGATCGTTCCAAACGCATTTAAATGGACTTGAAATGTTTGAAGCCCGTGTACTTAGATTTAACTACGTTGAACCACACCAGATGATCGAAATTTGCGGAGCCCTACACCCCAACATTTCTCATAATCATATAGTGGTTTTGAGACGTAATATCCCAAAGCGTACTATTCGTAACTCGTTCGTAAATACCCATCATTCGTCGCTTTTAAGTGAAAGGGTTCGAGCTGCGAAATCAAACGCTTCAGTATAAATGTGGTCCGTGTGCTTGTGTTTTCCGTGTGCTATTTACAAGTTGCCTGCAATATGGATGTCAGTGTCGGTCCTCGGGGGTATAGAGCACGTCGCATTGCAGTAACAGCCACTACCATTAATTGCTTATGTGAAAGGATTGCTGCCAACAGGCACCTCGCCCAGTAACTATCAACTCAGGAAAATATTGGTGGTGTTTAGCTACTCTTCTAGATCAAGTTACCTCGATTGAAAGGTTTTTTGGCTCCACTTTCCAAAGGCCACGCACATGGCGTTTCATTAGTGGTCACGTGGTACCAGCCGCGAAGTCTCTATACTCAGTGGATCACGTGCCGTGACGTCACGTCCGCTACACATGCGCTCCGGCGACACATAATTGTGACGTGTTGAGTGACCTTGCAAAATATCGCGCAGTGGTGTAGCTTTCGCTCTAAAACGAGGGAGAGACCTCGCTTAGCGTAATGCGCGTGCTCACTGACCGTGTGTGACTCAGACGTCAACAATTTTGTTTTATTGGAAGATGATGCGTGTGTCCCCAATTGAACGTTTTGAAAAAGGGCACTTTTCGCGTGTACACTCCGCAGGTCTTTCGAATTGTTAGTACAGTCTCTCGCAGAAATGTCTGAATAATGAAAGTGACGCTGAGACGAAGCAAGTGCCGGCAGTGTCTCTGAGGTTGTATAGCCCCACCTGCAGTCGAAAACCACCACCACGTATACTTGACAGATGTGAAGAGGAATGTTTTGAGAAACGGCGTAAGTCGTGACCACCCAACTTCTTGCAGCGAACGTGTCTCGCCAGAAGGAGAATGTGTTGCTTTTTTTTAAAGTTCCTCGTGGGGAACGCTGTCGGGCAACGTCTTGCAGACAGGTTCGTAGACGACGAGGCTCTTTTTGCCGCACCTCGTCTCGTATATCTTGTTGCACTCCACCGGCACACCTTTGTCGACGGCGGACTCGGGCTGGACGAGTTGGCAACCTGCAGAAGAACGCAGTGGACAGTGTGTAACGAGAGTTTGTTAATGTCAATCTGGGCGCATGGGTGTTTTTGGTTTAAACTGTCTATCAATGGGTGACAGTATACTTTCGTTACAGTTATGTCTCATTATGTCCTCTAGTCGGATACAGCTAAAAACAATAATGGCTGAGTGAAAGGCGCAACACATTGACTCAAACTTGCATATGTGAAAGTGATACTCGGTGGTGTTTTTCGAGCTGCAGAAATGCGAAAGCTGAATCATCGCGCGTTTTTTTTCTCTTTTCGCTATTGTATATTTCTTCGTTTATTATTAACGTCAACACTGTCATGTTTTTTTTTTTGTGAGCTGCCTCCAGAAAGGTCAAAGCGTGTTGCATTTCTGGGTCTCTTTCATACGCGGTCGACGTCTTCTACCAGTTTCTACATTCCGCAAGAGCAGTTCCGTGTTCGCAAGCACATCGTCTGTTATTATCACTATATTTATTATGTGTGTTCTGTTTTTCATTCTGTTTTTTTAATGCGAAGCATTTTTTAGAGAGAATGAAACGCACTTTGAGTGATCTATCTATCTATCTATCTATCTATCTATCTATCTATCTATCTATCTATCTATCTATCTAGCTATCTATCTATCTATCTACTCTATCTATCTATCTATCTATCTATCTATCTATCTATCTATCTATCTATCTATCTGTCTGTCTGTCTTCTGTCCTGTCTGTCTGTCTGTCTGTCGTCTATCTTCTATCTATCTATCTATCTATCTATCTATCTATCTACTATCTATCTATCTATCTATCTATCTATCTATCTATCTACTCTATCTATCTATCTATCTATCTATCTATCTATCTATCTATCTATCTATCTATCTATCTATTCGAGCTATCATCTATCTATCTATCTATCTATCTATCTACTATCTAATCTATCTGTCTGTCTGTCGGTCGTAGTCTGTCTGTCTGTCTGTCCTGTCTGTCTTCTGTCGTCTGTCTGTCTGTCTGTCTGTCTGTCTGTCTGTCTGTCTGTCTGTCTGTCTGTCTGTCTATTCGTCTGTCTGTTCGTCTGTCCGTCCGTCCGATCTGCTTGTGCTTTAGCGTGTCCGGAATATCGGGTGTGTCGTTTACCATAAAGACAAAACGCACGTACATATGCGCTATCGGAATTATGAACGAATGCCTATATGGAATGTGTAGGCGACGAGCTGACGCACGCAAGCACCAGCTAACTGGCATTCTAAAGTAAAGCTGCCGGTATATATAAGCGCGAGTTCACCGTTTGTGAAAGTTTAAGTCACTGTCATGGGAATTAATAGAACTTTGACTTGCGTGGCATTTTGCTGCGAAAGCTGTTATACGAGATCAAAACGACGACCGTTTTTGATGACACAGCTGTCCACTACCACTATCGCTCGTGTCCGTAACTGATCTATTCCGGAATAAAGAAAAAACGAACAAAATATCTCGAAAAGTATGAGATTCGAACCCGGGCCCTCTGCGTGGTAACCACATGAGTCTACCACATAGCCACGCCACTGTTTGCTACCCTACACGAGAAGAGAGAGAACGAGATGTACATTGCACAACACACACACAGTGCAGAGTATCACAGCGGCTCGCTCAGTAATTCTGCCTTCAAGAATACTATTCTATAGTTATAGTTTACCTACCTACATTTCCTATATTCTTTCTTTTTCTCTCGATTTCTTCAAAGCTTGAAGATCGTTTGCAAACGGGACCTATGCCGACTTCATGGCGGGGAAGGAATCACGTTAACACGTGTAATAGAGCGTTTCGCAAAGTAGTAAAACAGCGACCAGGGGTCACACAATGGGAACTGCGTACCGAGTGGGTCGTTCAATGCTTACAACGCATTACAAAAAGGTTCGGTCGTAATTCTTCATCGTCGTCAGCCACGGCATAAAAAGAGCGCACGTACAATATATGCCTCGCAGGTGTGTAGCGGTTACCACGCTTCTCCGAAGAGCGCAATACGGCCGTTGTATAGGTGCGCCCGTACCTCACAGAAGTATAATTTACGGCGCGCATTCGGTGACAAGGAAGCGTAGCTGCAGTAGTTGTCCCAAGAGTGTTTATTAATAGAGGCTCTAGAAAGCTGTGACTATGCTGCGCGTTCTGCACAGGCCTTGCGCTTTTTTCCCCTTTGTTTTTTTTTTATGTTTATTATATCATAAAGTCAGTCTTCTCATGCTTTAGTGCACCCTGCGACGCTTTGATTTTTTCGAACTAGTCTTGTGCGGGTTTTTGTCACGCCGTACCAGACCGCTGTTTCGTTCAGCCGAATGGCAGACTTCCGGCGAACGTTTACACTCATCGTTGCGAGCCAGGCGCAGCTGCTACGTCTGGAGTAATACTGCGGATTAACATTGCCCCTCACCGTGCCGCACAGCTGCACGTTTATGCACTGCTACGTTGCCGCGAACTCATCCACTTCAAGTCAGAGGCGTTCACAAAAACCCGTCGCCCACAAAAAGAAAAAAAGCGCAAGAGGGCTTTCACTGCCTTGTGGGCTGCTGAGAGATGTGGATGGTGCTGTACTAGCACCTGCACCGAAAGTGGCCGATCATCCAGTCACCGCAGTCTTTCTTGTTGCCTTCTCTAATCCCCCAGGGTAGGGTAGCCAACCGGATGTCTTTCTGGTTAACCTCCCTGCCTTCTCCCTTTTTGTTGCTTCCTTCGTTATACATTGCCGCGGTCTGTATGTACATCATCAATATTTCACACTGAGCAGCTTGGTTACGTCTAGGGCTACGTGTGTTCGAGTACATTCGAAGAAAAAAATTGATCTACGCTAACTGACGATATTTTGGACCACTCGGATTCATCCGATAGACTCCGGTTTTAACGGTCAATATGACCCGCTCTACTCAATATGTAAGAGGCATGTTCTATGCAAACATTGACGGGTTGATCAGTTTGCTGAGAAAAGCTTTACCTCGCGTCTACACTATCTGTTGTTAGCAGAAGCGTAGGCGGAAATTCTTTCGGGGGGGGGGGGGGCAAAAAAATGGTCATTTTGCGGCCTGTATGGCCTGGCGAACAAAATTTTGGGAGCAGGGGGGGATGAAGCATGAGCCAGGTGAGCCACCCCCCCCCCCAGCTACGCCACTGTCTCGTAGACCGCACAATGCATTGCAAATCGGTCGTTGTTCAGGGACGTCATTTGAGCCAACGTTTCTAGACCAGGTTTAGAAACGTTGATTTGAGCGGCATGGAGCTTTCACGACTCTCGACACAAATGAGAAGGACAGAATGCTTTTCACCGCAACGAATGCTGTCCCCAGAGATCCGCCTTGAGACACACTTCTCGGAGGCCGTGCATGAACTTCAATCATGTTAGTCCTTGAATTAGGTTTAATGTGGTAGCCCAATTAACGTACCTAGATGGTCGGTCCGCATCCCCGGTATCATTTTCAAACAGTTTAACACGTTCATAGGTGAGCTCCAACTCGTCAACTCTGTTCAAGTGTCGACTATACATTTCGTCTATTTGCTTTATATTTACGTCAGAAATGTGCTGGCGAGTTCGGTGCGTCGATGAGGTGAAGAGCATCAGCACGTCTCGTCTCAGTGCTTTTTCGAGTATCTGAACCCGCTCTGCCGAAGTGAACAAGTCCACTATAGATGAATCCATCGAGAATCGCGCGCCTGGTATAAACGATAAACTCGACCCTTTCTACACTTCACATCATACTCACCCTTGCGTCGCTTCTTCAAGTTTTCGACGAGGATCGCGCACGTCTTGTCGGGACTGATGTACATGAGCTTGCGCTCGACGCTAGGCTCGTCTGAAACGGTAAAGAGGGACGTTACATTGAACAACGTTGTATCTACGACGTGATCTTCACTCTCTGAAAGGCTGCAACGCTATGTTATGCGCACTAAGCAATGTTATGGGCTGAAAATTACGATTAGAATAAACTGCATGGGAGTCTTAAATATCAAGTACACCTGTAAAAATTTGAAATTATTGCAAATGACGTAACGAAACCCACTTCTCAATTTCCTAGTACCCAAAAATGGCGGCTAGGTAGCTACAATACGTAATGCCTCCACGCGCAGATTGCATTGGCATAGACGATTGTAGTCATTTAATACAGTTTCGCTGTCATCTATTCGTGTCTCGATGCAAGACGCACCATCTTGTACTGTCGCTTTTCCTGCTTAAGCAAGCTTTCGAAAGAATAGTAACAAAGATGGCGGCTCCTGTGTCATCAGTGTAAGATAGCCAAGGAACAAAAAAAGACTTGTTGATTCCTTCGTCCTATGAATAGGTAAAATACGTAAGTAAAATGTGTCCTAGCGGAAGTAGCTGAATGTTTACTGTACGTCGATATAAGAGAGCTTGCGCAACGTCTATTGGTGCTTGACAACTATGGCACAGCTCAACGTTGATGCATCCACGTTGACGCTTGGTCATACACCTCCATCCTGATGACTAAGGTCCATCATTGGCGAATAAACAAACTCTTGTGGTCATATATGCTTACGGTAGCTGTAGTAGTTAACGCCGAGAGCGGAAGAAGAGAAAGTGATGTGACGGCCAGAAGAGCGCGACTGATTAGGCGCCGACCTTGGTCTAAAGTTCCCTACTCGCGACATGTTGCAGTTATTCAACAACACTACCCGACCAGAGTGAAACGCAATGGTTGTCGTGATGTCCCTTTGGCTGGCCACGATTATTCGCCGGGTGAGAATGAGTGGAGCACGCGGAGTTAAAGAGCCTCTCACTGTTTACAAAAACAGGCCCTTGATTGCTGGTCAATAGATACTATTAGTGGCGCCGATGCTTGGGGTGAGATCGCCATCTGTGGGTGTTTAAAGGCTTTGACGAAATTGCAGTTATCTTATTCGAAACGCGTCGAATGGGCTGGACCCTTAGGAACGATGCGTCGAATGAACTAACCGCGGATGTCACTGTCACTGAACTTTACCAAGAATGCTGTAAGAGGACAGCGGTAGACATAAAAGGCGTATATTAAAGTCTATCAGAACATGTGCTCGGAATGTGTGGTCGTGGACACAGAGGTCATGGTTTCGATGCCCCGTGACGAAACTTCTTTTTTGCCTTTTCATAGTGCGTGTTTTTCAACGTCACTTCCGTGACGAAAATACGTCACTAAAATCTTGGTCAACCCCGGCATAAAACACTTTAAATAAGCACCATCGACGTCAGAGCAAGAGCACGTAGGAGCTAGAGTATGGTCTTGTTCTGCTGTGCACACTCGGCGTCTATGTACTGTTTGCGGGGTCTGGATTGGTGGATAAGTTTCTGCTGTTTTAATAGTGGATGTTGAAGCTAGTTGATTTGACACTTTGACAAATGGTGGGCCGCACGACACACGCGGACACTGCAAACCGAAAATCACAGCCCTCCTTTGCTTTCCCGTTTCTTGTGTTCACGCGGTGTTTTTCATCTATGGTTTTTCAATTCCACGTAGAATGTTCAGATTTTTACCTTCAACTACAGAGCATGCTATACAGCACAATTTCACGGCCTTGTACTGTAACCAAGTTATTTACTATAACTGCCAACCACAACTTATGGGAAAGTGCACTTTCTTGCACCATCTGTATTGCCCCGTAAAGGTTTAGCAACACCCTTCTTGTTTCTGCATCTCTTTTTCTTTTGACGCCCTCCAATGTAAGGGCCTATATATGGCAGGTGGTATGTTTGAAATGCTTTGTTATGATACAAATAGCTCCAGAAATAGCCTCCGTTAAGCCAGGGCGCCGCTGGGTTTCCAGTATGAGAGAAGTTTACTGCCAATCCTGTCGCTCGTCGTGCCGTTACGCAAGCATAAATCAGTCTCACTTCAGTGAATATCTGTGAATACGCCATAAATTCGTAGTAATGAGAATATCATTTTGTGTCGTTTGATCTATCATTCTGTAGCTGTTTGCTCGTGACAGCTTAATGCGTATTATGTGCACTTTGCACCACGACCATGCTTGTCGTTACCACCACCATCCTCAGTAATTAAAATCAGTTATCTATCTGAAGGCCATGAAGGTTCGCAGGGCGTTTAGAAAGGCATTGGTTACATTGTCGTACAAATGAAACAACAAAATTAAAGAAGAAACTAGCAAGTTTTGACAGACGGCCCCTCACATTAAAGAAATTTCTCGGACAACAGCCTGAGCTGCATCTTCAGAAAAAGGCGAATGTTTTCCTGACCGACTCCTCAATGGAGACCGGACTGGATAAGCGCTTGTGATATACAGGTAGGGGTTGAGATGTATGAAATTATTTTTTTTGTGCATATACTGTGAGTAGAAAAGGAAAGGTGTGCGTGTGAACGTTTCATGACTGTGGGAATTGCCACAAGCAAAGTGTGCATCGCCATGTTACTTCAACGGGTCTGTGTGTGCTACTATAGATTTTTTCGTTGATTGTTATTTTGGGTACCATTCATTGTTACTTTGTTTCGCTGCAGAACTCATTCATATTGAGTATCGGAGGTAACACGAACTTCAATTTCTTCATAGCAAAACAGATAGCACAGAACAGAACAGGAATAGTTAGACAATAGACAGCTGAACAGTTACAAGAAAGTTGGTCACGTACGACTATATCTTAGACCACAAAAGCACCAGCAAAGTGACTACCTGCGTTGGTTTCGCGTGCTGCCCTAGCGACGCGTAGTGAACCGTTCGCTCATTCGCCAAAAGAAAGAATTATGGCGTAAAGGGCATTGCGTAACTGTGCTTGCAGTTGGCATTTTAGGGTAACTTAAAGCTGCCAATGTTACGTGCCCAGACTTTCATTTTCTTTTCGGCATGATTAAGTCATGCACCGAGAGCTGAAGCCAAGCTAGCAATTCTACCCCGTCGCGGTGGTCTAGTGGCTAAGGTACTCGGCTGCCGACCCGCAGGTCGCGGGATCGAATCCCGGCTGTGGCGGCTGCATTTTCGATGGTGGCGGAAATGTTGTAGGCCTGTGTGCTCAGATTTGGGTGCACGTTAAAAAAACCCCAGGTGGTCGTAATCTCCGGAGCCCTCCACTACGGCGTCTCTCATAATTATATGGTGGTTTTGGGACGTTAGACTCCACATATTAATCAAGCTAGCAATTTAGAAGGCAATGCGCATGAGGCGCGATTGTGCTATCACCTTCTTCTATTGAAGACGAAGCTCAAGCGCCCTCCCAGTGTTTATCTTTTTTTTTTTGAACATGCGCCTTTATATCTCTTTTTCTGCTTGTCTTTTTGGCTCTGTCTGTAAAGCTGTATTGTAATATCATTAACCCTAATATTATTTTATGCTTCGTGTGTCTGTTGGCAGCTTAGAGAAGCCCCGCCGCGGTTGTCTAGTGGCTAAGGTACACGGCTGCTGACCCGCCAGTCGCGGGATTGAATTGTGGCTGCGGCGGCGGCGTTTTCGATGGAGGTGGAAATGTTGTAGGCCCCATGTGCTCAGATTTGGATGCACGTTAAAGAACCCCAAGTAGTCGTAATTTCTGGAGCACTCTACTACAAAGTCTCTCATAATCATATAGTGGATTTGGGAAGTTAACCCCTACATATCAATCAATCGGTGAGCTTACAGAGGTGACGAGCTTCGATGAAATGGTACTGTAAATGAAAATAGAACAGAAGAAAAAGACAATAAGAAAGCCAAGTAGTACGTCAATTCTTTCAAGGACTTGCTGTCCTCTGTGTCACCGTTGGGTGGGCACACGAATTAAGGCTGCGCAGCAACAACGTCGTTCTACTGCTGTTGAGGTGGATATCATTCATTAATAATCATGGTATTGTAATCGTTTTTTTTTTCACAACAATTTTCTTACCTATGCCGTGCGCGTACTTGACGGCGTTGTAGTCCTTGTGCACGCCAGTCTTGCTGATCGTGAAGAACACTTTCATGGACATTCTGCGCAGTGAAGGAGGTCGACGGAATAAGCACAAATCAGGCAGTTCATACATGCATCGTACTTTTTGCACGCATATTTTGTGAGAGCAGCAGACTTGAACTAGCCAAGCAAAGTATAGGGCAGCATTATTTGTAGCCTTACTTGTAGCATTGTGATGATCTTGCAAATGTAGAATAAATTGAAGTGGACAATATACGACAGCTTTCCGCCTGCAGTGACTGAACCTATACAACCTTCCGATAACGATATCTCAAAAAGTACGTTCGATTTGTACCGCGCGAGCCTTTTATGTCGTAAAAACTATACTAGGTCATACTTACGCACCCTTCGGGGAGTTCTGTGTATGCGAAGAATCATTTTTTTTATTGCTCCGGAATGTTCATTCTGATTTTACTGCGAAAATTATAATGTATGGCGATAATAATAGTAAAAACAATGCTGTTTACAAAAAAAAAAAAAAACGCGAGGCCTGCGCAGAAAGTGCAGCGCAGTCACAGCGAAAGCTAGAAGCGGACTTTCAGAGCTTTTTTAATTAGTCATTGGGTAACTGCGGCAAACACATTTGCTTGATGCCCACTCGCTTGATGCGCGCTATACGGCATTAATATTAAATATTTTAGTGTAGTAGGCCAACATTCGCTATGCTATTTTTCGTCATTCTTCTGAGAAGCATGGTATCTGCTAGACTATTGCGAGAAGTATCTTGCCCATTGTTCAAGCAGTGGCTGACGACGATGAAGAATTATGACTTAAGTGGGTATCCGCCACGACTAATAGCTGACAAAACAAAACAAGCTTTTGTATTGGGTTGTAGCATGGGACGACCCACTCGTTACGCAATACTGTGCGACGACTGCTTGTTCTTTCGCTGTTCTAAAACGCTTTATAAGTCGTATTAATACACGCGATCGCTTTCCCGACATCAAGCCTGCCTAAGGCAAGTTTGTCAACAAGTCCCAAGCCCTGGTGTGTCTCGGTGGCAGAATACTGGGCTGGCAGCAAGCGGACCAGGGTTCAAGCCCCACTGTGTCATTGGTGCTAGTTTTTTTTTTCTAATTTCGTGCGATGTGGTTACCGACACTGGCGGCGGCGGCGGCGGCGCACAACTACGGCACTGCGCGAGACCCGAGTTATCTCATAACTGCTTTCACTAAAAAATGGTGAAGCTTGCCCTAAGCCGCTCAAGGCTTCAAACAGTGAAAGTGGATGATAACGAAGACTAATGTGGTTGCTTTTAGGTGTTTGCAAGGGCTTGGCTAGGCGATGTTCTACGTTGATTCTCCGCGTTAGAAAAAGGTTCCAGTTAAAGCGCATGGAGTCACAGACATGACAAGGGTGTCCAAACTTCAGGCACAGAAACTCGCGCTGACACGGAGCGTTCGCCGCGTCTCAATAGATCTACGAGCACGTTGTCGTTCGCATTGGTCATCCGTCTCCTCGGGTTTTTCGTCTCGTCGCAGGGCAGCCATTAGTTGGGCTTAATGTTGCCTTCGTTTTAGTTGACCAGCGATGGGTTGTGTGACTCACCCATAGTCTGTTACACTTACCCGTTAAGATGATGATAATTTTCTGCTGTCAACTCCGCAATAAACGTTTTTATGTACAGTTTTGCTGTATAAACTGCTTAATAAGATGTTTGTTTTAATCTCATTCGCTTCCGACACTAATCACCAAAGTTCGATTAGGCCGTGAAACTTGTTAACGAATACGGGCCATTCCACTTTGCCAGCCTGGATTTTTATGTCCACCTTTAATTACTAATATATTTATTCTTATTCTAATGGTTTGTGACCATGACGTGGTTAAGGTGTAATTAATTTTCTTTTGCCTAACCTTCCTGCCTTTCACTAAACAGTTCTCTCTCCCTCACACAAAAATATAGTCGATCGTTGCAGGAACAGCACGGACTAAAGGTTACGGGTATTTAGGCGTTAAGTCAACATGAGCGAATCAAGGTTCATTGATGGTGGGACGCCTGTGTATATAGATGCAGGTTCTACTCACAGCGTCGTCGCCTCCTTGTACATGCGAGTGCGGAGCACGTACTCGTAGTTGGTCTCGCTCAGCTGACGCAACCTCTGCGCCGACTCGCAGCGCTCGATTCGTTTCAAGTTGAAGTTGCGCTTGATCACGTATATCTTCTCGGTGATGGCCACAAACTACAAAACATAAAAAGAGAACAATGAAAAGGAAACGTCTGGCAATAGGTGAAGCGTGGTGTGTTCTAAGGACTTCCGAATTACCCCTTGACTTAGAAGTGTGGCAGTTTGGACTAGTTAATATGACATGACGATAGTCAAGTTTTGGCAGTTTGGGCTAGTTGGTATGACATGACAATAGTTAAGTAAGGCAGCTTGGACTAGTTGGTATGAGCTGACGATAGTTAAGTGGGGCAGTTTGGGCTAGTTGGTATGACATGCCGATATTTAAGTGTGGCAGTTTGGGCTAGTTGGTATGACATGACGATAGTTATAACGCGAAAACAGAACGACGACAAAAAGATAAGAAGGACACTAGGTTCCTCGAAGGTTTCCGTGGGTGCAAGTAGTTATATTACTTTCACTTTTATTTTTCTATTCCGTTTTCTTATAGACTTTTCTCTGCCCTTTTCCGTGCTTTTGTTTTTACCTTGCTCATGCATTGCTCTTTGTGCCTCATGGTTTTTGTCTCATGGTTTACTGTCTCCTTGATATGTTTTCGCGCTCTGCGCAATTTACTCAGTTGGAAGTTAGCGCTCGTGTCCTTCTGGTCTCTTTGTCGTCGTTCGGTTTTCGCGCTATACCTGTCGTCCTTACCATTTGACGTCCCACAAAACTCCCCTGCATGCGCAACATTCACACGACTCTCTAATACAAGCCATCAATTCTTATAAAGTGCTTTGTTGAACTCCGTACAATCATATGCCATGTAATACGTCATAATATGTCACGTCGTGCACTGATACGTCGTGGGGTCAAGGCCGAGCAGGGCAGAGGGGGGGGGGGGGCTCCGCGTTTGTGCGCCACCCCTTTTTTACGCCATTGAGGGCTGCAGACTTTCTAACACAATTCCCTGGCACCACAAACATTCCTTAGCACCTCCCAACACTTGCACACACACACACACACACACACACACACACACACACACACACACACACACACACACACACACACACACACACACACACACACACACACATACACAACATCATACATACATACATACATACATACATACATACATACATACATAATATATATATATATATATATATATATATATATATATATATATATATATATATATATATATATATATATATATATGTGTGTGTGTGTGTGTGTGTGTGTGTGTGTGTGTGTGTGTGTGTGTGTGTGTCGGAAAGTTAAAAGTTATTCCGCGCTTAGTGGTTCGGAAAAGCGCCCCGAGAAAGTGGACTTCCCCAATACCAAACACTATAACGAACATTATACATGTACAAAAAAAACAAAAAAAAAACAAGGCATGGCACAACCAGCGTAATGGCCACGGGCTTTTGCCGAACACATTCAGTAGTTTTCAAAGTGTCCTTTTTTATTATTGGCACGAACAAGTAGTGACTCTTGTTTTTCCTGAGTGGAACGCCGGTTTCAGTCTCTGTTAATTTTTCTCGTTTTCCTTGGTGCTTGTGGAAGACGCCGCTCTTCTGCCTGCGGAAATGGACGTAGAATCACCAGGGCCTCCACCCATACGTTCCGCGTCGTCTGTGGCCACTCTAAGAAAGCGCCCCGGCCACCCAAGTGACGTCGACAGCGAGGACACGCTCATGTACTCTACGGCCAGTGATGAGAGCTCCGATGAAAGTGACTTTGTGCCGTAGCAAGACACAAGGCGAAGAGGAGGCTACTTACGACATCTTCTTCCCAAAGTAAGGCCACCACAAATATTCAAGAGCCACCGGTTCACACTATTTTGTTTGTCCCGCTGAATGCCGCTGACAGCATGAACCGACTTAATCGCCAGGTCACGTCTATGTCACTTGAGGCGCTCGTTCCGGGACAAATAACAGACGTGAGAATCAATGGCCGCAAGAACGTTCTGGCGATAGACGTTACGCAACGTACTGCTCTCGACGTATTGACCAAGGTGAATGTGCTGGGGAACATCAACGTACGTTCTTTCATACCAGATGGCAAGGACTCTAGAGCAGGCGTTATCTACGACGTCGACACTTCTATCAGCGATATTGATTTTCCCACTCTAATCAAACCAGTGACGGAAGCTACTATAATCTTGCAAGCCCGCCGTCTCGGGAACTCACGATGCGTGAAACTAGTTTTCAAGGGTGACAGCCTCACAACTCAAGTAAGAGTTGGTCATTTTCGACACACATTACGGCCGTTCGTGCCGAAACCTCTTCAGTGTCGGAAGTGCTGTAAAATAGGACACGTGAGTGCTGTTTGCACAAGTTCCGCTGTGTGCTCCCGATGCTCGGAGTCGCACAACACGGAAGCCTGCCAGGCAGAACATCGCAAATGCGGCGATTGCCAAGGTCCTCACGAGGCGTCATCAAAGCAGTGCCCAAATGTGAAGAAGGAGATGCAAGTGCTGAGGCAGATGGCCAGAGACGGTTCCACCCACAGGGAGGCTGCTGCCAAAGTGCGACGTCGGCGTTCGCGCCATAGGAAAACTCCTAGGACATCCTCTGCCAAGGCCAGGGATACACCGCTACCCCATATCACGCACTCACCACCACAAGCATCAACAAGTGCCAACAACAAGCATCCTCAGAAAGACGCAAGAAACATTGACCCGGACGCGTGGCCAGCGCTGCCGTCAGTGACACCGCCAGTAGAGCCGCAGCATCGCCCGCTGAAAGCTACTTCAGAGGGAGTAAGTCATGAAAGTCAAGATAACGAAATAATAGACGTGATTAAGACCCTCATGAAGACAATTCGAGTACTCCTGAATAATATTCAGACTCCGGCTGCCCACAGCGCTCTTCAAATACTGGACGCTTTGAATCCGGTGCTATCAAATCTAGAGAAGCACCATGGCTCTTTCTCTGCAGCGCTTCCGTAAACAAGTGAAAGAGGCATCAATTTTTCAATGGAATGATCGAGGCCTTAAACCCCGCATTTCGGATTTTCGACCATATGTTTTCAAGAATCAGTTTCCAATTATCGTAATTTGTGAACCACGTCTACACAATGCTATACGACTTTCTAAATACGAGGCTTTCAGATCTGCGACCCGTAACGAAACCAGTAAGGTCATTGTTTACATCAGGTGCGAACTCACATATATTGAGCATCCAGTAACACCGGACGACAGCAACCAATACGTGTGCCTGACAGTTAAGCGTAAGAACGTGAACTTCACGCTAGTGGCAGTATATATTTCACCTTCAGGCCACTTCGACACAGCAAGATTAAGCGCCATTATATCAGCGACACCAGGGCCGTGGATTATTAGCGGTGATTTTAACGCTCATCACCCCCTGTGGGGAAGCCAGAAGATGGACCGTCGGGGAAGAAATGTGTCCTCCTTTGCATCTGACCACCAACTATATTGTTTAAATGACGGCACTCCCACGTTTTAACGGGGTCTGACATATAGTAGCTGTCTCGACCTAACTTTTGTGTCCAGTAGCCTAAGTACCAAGGTGCAGTAGTTTGCGGACAATGAAACGCATGGCAGTGACCACATCCCCACCTATATGAAGATCAAGGGGCTAAGCAAGTCGCAAATCGCGCCCGCTTCACGGATAGAGTGGTCAAAGTACAGATCATCCACAGAGAAGCAATGCGAGAGAAACCAAGAAGGTTCTCTTGAAAGCCTAGAAGGTATAATGAAGGCCGCTATCCAAGAGGCAACGTTTAATTGTGGACCTTTGCCAGATTTTTGCAAATATGAGGTGCAGTTGGAGCGACTTCGCGCAATCCGTCGTCGCGCCGAACGACGTTATAGGCGCACGAAATCCATCTACGACTTGAGGGAAGCAAGACGTCTACAAAAGAAGATTCAACGTCGAATCAATGCACTACAGTCGTAACGACGGAAGTCACTATGCGAGTCGCTTGATCCCCACAAACCTCTTTCGCAAATATGGAGAATAATCCGCGGCCTACGAACATTGCCACAACAGCATCGTCCGTTCAAATGCCTTGCTCTCCACCACAGCCGGCGTGAAATCGATGTAGCGGAAGACTTCTGTGCCAGGGTTATAAACAAGGGGTCCGGGATCAACATGAGTAACCTACGAAACGCGCCGGTGTCCAGAGACACTCGGATGGACAATATGTTTTCTCTAGAGGAGCTTCAGGCAGCATTGGCAGCATGCAAGCGCTCGTCATCGCCTGGACCCGATGGAGTCACTTACATGGTCCTTGCTAACCTAGGACGAACAGCTCGGCGTGCCCTTTTAGCTGTATACAATGACTCGTGGAGCAACGGTTTGGTTCCTCCTTCGTGGAAGTGCAGCCGCCTTGTGCCCCTGCTCAAACGAGGCAAATCGCCTCTGGACATGGCCTCCTATCGCCCCATCGCACTTGCCAGCTGTTTTGGAAAGGTGATGGAGAGAATGGTGCTGACTCGCCTGGAGTGGTACTTGGAATATAACAATATATACCCCGATGCTTTGACTGGCTTTCAACGTGGACGGTCTTCCATAGACAATGTTGTTGATCTTGTCACGTCTTTACAACAGCAGAAAAGCCTAAAGAGATTATCAGCGGCACTTTTCTTGGATATTAAGGCTGCATACGACAATGTACTACATGAAACCACCCTGGACGCCTTAGGCAGCATTGGATTGGGAGGCCGCGTTTACCAATGGATTTACAGCTATTTGAAGGACAGAACCTTCTTCGTTCAGGCAGAAGATGGCGCAACAAGGCAACATCATACTTATCGCGGCGTACCTCAAGGTGGGGTCCTAAGTCCCATACTTTTCAACCTTGCGCTATCGGCCTCGTTGACGTCCTGCCACACTCCGTACATCTGTCGATATACGCGGACGACATCTGCATCTGGGCATCAGGGGTCACGCGTCTACACGTACGAGCCAGGCTTCAGACAGCGGCTACACTGACGTCAAACTACCTTCAAGGACGAGGACTGGAGCTGTCATCTGAGAAATGCTCACTGGTTGCGTTTACGCGCAAGACAATGATGCCATACCGCATCAGAATTAATG